CCTCCCCCTTCCCCTCTCCCCTCGAGGAGAGGGAATGTTTGCCCACTTTGGTGATATCTTCACTTCAGTGGGATTTAAAAGGATGACCTCAGTGCCACTGTCCTTTCTGAGCTTGGAGACTCTGAGAAACCCTCTCTTCTAAACGGTTAGCATTACTGGATTGCTGGTAGGGCTCACTTGGGAGCCAGGTCTGTCTGTAGCCCTGAGAAGTGCGGGCTGCTGTTCTTCATCTGTCATCTTTTCCCTCCCCTCCTCTCCCCTCCCCTCCCCTCCCCTCCCCTCCCTTCTCTTCCATTTACTCTCTCCAGATAAACTTGACCTCACTTTGCTAATGGACCTTGTTTCAAACTGCTTTTCTGTGGTCAACCACACTTCCTTGCCGGTTTCCCTTCTCTGACCTGGTGTCACAGATCACCGCTGAACCGCAGACTGAAAATAACTGAGATGATGGCGCCCTCTAAAGGACACATAGATTTTAACTGTTAGCTAACATTTAGTAAGATTCGTATTACACTTGAGTATCTTATTCTTGCTTTTAAAAATCAATTATTACTAATCTCGCCAAAGAAATGAATCAATAGGACAAATGTAGTGTTAAAAACCCCCGGGAACCGGAGCAGAAAAACAGTGTTCTGTTTTGTCCTGTATGTACTTAAATTTTTTAGATACAAGTTGTGCTTTAATTATAGAATGAGTTAGGAAGTGGTGAGAAAAGCTATAGTTTTCAAGTATTTTAATTCTCAATAAGTTAATTCCTTTTATAGGGTGATTTTTTTCACATAAATAAAATGTGAAGTATCAGATTAATTTGTTGACACCCAAGTAGAAATGCCTGGGGCTGGAGAGCTGGTGCAACCATTAAAGGCTCAGGCTCACAACCAAATAGAAATATCTAAATTTTTGTTTTTGTTGCTAGAAATAAACTTGTGTAAACCATAGAGTCACTTTATTAATATTATTGAAAGTTAAATTGAGAGACCATTTGATTTAATAGAATTTTGATTTAAAAATAGTTTTTCTGAAGTAAATATCAATTAAATAAGTTATATAATAATTCTGCTGCTATTATTTCATGGACTTTTAAATTTAGATAGAACGCTGGAGTCCACATAGTGTCAGAGTTTGATGCACACCATCTCATTGTCTAACCTAATGCTTTAAGCCAAGGCAGAGGCTCTTTTAGCCAGGTATGGTGTCTTCCATGAGGATGTGTCCCAGCAGGCATCCACTGCACACCCCTCACTGAGGCAAAGAAGTCCTTTTAAAAGCCAAGTGTCAACTCTGAGAGGAAGGAACAAGTGTGGAGGTGGACTCCCTGAAAACCAGGCTGATGATCAGATGGGTACAGTATTGCAGCCACTTTGAGAGTTATGTGCTCTGAAGACCTCCATAGCAGGGGAATTTGTAGTGGACAAGTGGAGATGGGGAAGCAAAGTGTCAGTGAATACATGAAAACTTATATAAAAAGTAACAACAATGTCTGCAATAAATATACCACCAGTGACATTTTATACATCTTGAATTTGCACTACTGTGCACTGTGAAAATTGCATTAAGCTAATGGTTTCCATATCTTAGATCACAGGAAAATCTTGCAACTCTGAAGACCTTGACAAGTCATGATGAGATGCAGATATCAGAAACAACTCCTTTTACTGCCTCAGGGAACCTTTCAGGCTATCCCATCCAGGCCCTGGCCAAGCTCAGGGCCAGAAGCACCCCACTGGAAGCTTGAGTGGATGGGCATTCAGGGAGATGGGTGGTACTAGGCAGAAATGCTAGTTCCAAAGCAAGCCTTCTATAATTCCAGTAGCTTATTCTTGCAAGCTGTGGCACTGTCTGGAGTAGTGATAGAATGTGCCTAGAAGGCCAGAGACTGTTTTGACTCTGGTGGTATGGAGGATTCTGCTTTGTGAAGCTTTGCAGTGCTGACTGTAGAGGTAGTCGTATGCTAGTGACTTGGGGTTGTAGCGGCAAAGGAAACAAGTAGTGGTGTCTACAGTATGTAGAAATTATTCAACAGGGATGTTCTCATGCTCAAAGGTGGACTTATTCAACCTCAGTACTAGAAAGCAGGCCTTGTATTTGGCTCAACATGAATTTGCTAGGAAACCCACCACATAGTCAAAGTGCATCACCATAAAGTCTCTCCCATGGTGGATTAACATCAAGATTTGCTTTCTTTACAGATCTTCAGGTATGTTCCATGTAATGAAGCACAATAACTACATCTCCCGATTCGGCAGCAAACGTGGGCTACAGTTCATTGGTATGCACGAGAATGGTATCATATTCAACAATAATCCAGAACTCTGGAAAACGATTCGCCCTTTCTTTATGAAAGGTAAGCAAGAACCCAGTTACATTCTTTTCTTAGGCCTATGAACTTGCCTCTTTATTTATTTATTTTTTTTTGCCTTTTTTTGCATGTTTTAAATTGTGCCTCCTGACAGTTTTGAAATAATGATGCTAAGAAGGGCTAGCATTCTTTATATCTTTGCTATGTGTTAGACATCATACTAAGCATTTAACATTGTAATCCCATAGCAACTCCATATGGTGAATACTCTTATCACCTGCAATTTATAGGTGAGAAAACTAAGGCTCAAAGAATTTAAGTTACTTGCCCCAAATTAAAAAATCAGTAAACGGTGGCCCCCAGGATGCAACCCAGAGCCCACCTTTATAGCCACTGCAAATTGTGGAGATGCGCCTGTATACTTTGGCCAATTTCAACCAAGAATTTGGTGTGTCAGCTCTATTTTGATTTAAATATAACTAAACAGTACATTTTATGAATCACTCAAGTCAGATGTTTTAGGAGAAAATAATCTGCGAATGAAATTAGAGAGTTTTAACACAGGGGAGAACTCTGTATGTTGTTTCATTCAGCCTTTAGTTTTGTGGTTGAGAAAATAAAATCCTTTGAGAGGTTGAGATTTGCATCAGCACAGCAAGTCAGGGGTAAGCAGAGACCCAAATCCAAGCCTCTTTACCTGGCACTTGCCCCTGTATCACATCGTAGTGGAAATGAAGCTGTTGAGGAATATACAGGGACAACCTTTGACATCAATACCAAGTATCAGGATAGCAAGCCATGCCTTGGCAATCTTGCCAGTGATGGAGTCTGGAGCTGGATGGACTTTAGGTCTGAACCTGTAACACCAACCTTCTTCGTTCTATCCCACTTCAGTAGTGAGTTTGGATGTCCCCTACACGGCTGTTCACACAGGGAGAAGCCAGGCCTCAGCCCGGTGAGTGCTGAGTATACCTCACTAAGACCCAGATATGCTCTGCTATAGCCGTAGTGTGTTTGGGTCCTATGCCTTCTGTCAAAAAAAAATCTAAGCAGCTCAAGATGCTGCGTGTTGCAATTCTGAAGGCCAGAAGTCTGTCATGGGTCTCAAAGGGCCCAGATCAGGGTGACATAGGCTGTTCTGGAGGCTCAGGGGTAGTTGTATCTTTTTTTCTCTTGCCTCTTCCAGCTTCTAGAGCCACCTTTTTTCATTGCCCGATAATGTGGGTCCAGTTCCCCTTGCACTAGTCTCTCTTTCCTTCCTTCTGCCATGGTGTCTCCTCTTACTTTGACCCCAGCTTGGAAAGTTCCTCACTAATAGTTCTTGGGGTTCATTAGGGCTCACCAAATAACCTACCATAATCTCCTCCTCACTTTAGTCACCTGCCAAGTCCCTTGTTCCACATAACATATAAAAGAGTTTTGGGATTAGGACCCTAGACAACTTTGGAGAGCAATTTTTTTTGCGCCACTACTCATATTGAGGCTGAAGAATCTCTCTATGTCTTACAAGACCGCACAGTGGATTAACGGAAAAACTACAGGTCTCAGGATTACAGTGGTTTTAAATCTCAATGTTGCCACTACATGCCTCTACGTAGGACCTTAGGCAAGTCACTTGGTGTCTTTGGGCTTTAGTTTTCTTATCCACAGAAGTTGATGAATATTATAGAACTTGAACTCTAGAGTTATCATGAAGAACAGATGAAACTATGCTGTGACTCCATAGTAAACTGCATTTTACTTTGCCATTTGACTCAGGTTTATTAGAAATGTGTTAACTAATAGTTAGGAGTCATTAACTTTCACATACCAATATCCTGTACTCTGTCACCCAGGAGTTATCCATTTGACAAACTAACTCTTCTCATCATTGAATTAGATGCTAAGATACAAAGATCTTAAAAAAAAATACAAGGATAAGCAAGGGTTGGTCCTGTCCTTGAGGATCAAGGTGAGGCTGCGTGAAGTGGGCCAGCACATCACCAAACACTGTTTGGGTGAGGTTTAGGTGCACGGGGCTGCAGAGAACAGACACGTGAGACACCTAAAGCATTTGAGGGGCCAGGGAAGGCTTTTCAGAGCAGTGAAAATGGTGACTTTTGAATGAAGTAAAATCTAACCAAGAAAGTACAACAAAGGGAGACACTGTGGCAGTAAAGAATAGGATATTTGAAAGCCGAGCAGGACAGGTCATCATGACATACACAGGCACCCTGCATAGAGACACATGCAGAAGGCATGGCCAGGTCACCCAAGACACTTCTATTAAATCAACTCAAGGAGTTGAGTTTATCTCAAAAGCTTTGAGGAATCACCAAATAGTTTAAGCAAAATGATGTGAACATGGTGTATGTGTTACAAAAATCCTCTCTGGTATAAAGTGAAAGTTTCATTGGAAAGAAACACAATTATGAACAGTGAAAACAGGTGTGGGGTACTGCAGTGACAGGGTGGCTGGAGGAGGAGGCCACGGGGATAGGAGGTGGTAAAAGAGAACTTACCGTACTTAGAAATTCAGTTTGTCAATGAAACTTTATAAATTTTTAAGATTAGCCTTATAAGTGCAAGGTCAAATTTTCTAATAAAAATGCTACAGAATTAGACCCTAATTAAATGCCCCCAAATAGGAAGCTAATTGTTTATTGAAAAGTACACTCGAGTGCCTGACACTTTTACAATCAATGAGAGTCCTAAGCATCTTGATGTACCTTTTTTGGAGTTAGACTCCTGTTGGTTTTCCTGGGAAAGGGGAAAATTGGAATATACTTTGATATCTACATTGGTAACGCTATGAACGCATTAACTTAGCAGGTGTGTTGAGAGAAACAGGTAAGCACAATTGAAGAGATGGTTCATCCTGGGAGTTGGGGAGGAGATGAGTTAAAGGGCAGAAAAACTGTTTCCTGAAATTACCACAAACACTCTTTATGTTGATAACATTTCATTACTTGCTGACTTTTCTTTTGACCTAGGTAGAATGCTTTTAAGCACATTTAAACATTGTCATATCTGCATATACCACTATTCATAAGCAATCATATTCCATTTTGCCTCTCTGTGTGAACTAAAATTTCAAGCTCTTGGTCAGATAGGCAAATCATGCATGAACCTGGAAGGAAACCATCCGTGACATACAGAGCCAACCCTTGTACACAAAGGGCTGAGTCATTAGGGGAAGATTGTCCCACTCTTGAATGTGAGCAACATGTTGGCAGGTCCCTCCTACTGGAAAGAAGGATTCTCTTTAGCCTTCTTTTTTTTAACACATTTGATAATCTTTATAAAAAATTCTGCTTATTATTTTTATTTTTTATGTGTATGAGTGTATTACCTGCATGTATGTAAGTGCACCCCAGTCATACAGTGCCAATGGAGATCAGAAGAGGGTGTAGGAGTCCCCTGGAACTGGAGTTACAGATGGTTGTTAGCCACCATGTGGGTGCTGGGAATTGAACAGAGATCCTCTGCAAGAGCGGCCAGTGCTCTTAACTGCTGAACCATTTCTCCAGCCCCACATTTGGAAATCTTAAAGATGTAAACCACTCCTTAGACTAGTCTCTGTCTTGCTCTGTTTCTTGTCTCTTTCCCTCTCTCCTTCCTCTTGCCCCCCCATTCTTCCCCCCTCACCTCTTCCTGAAGGAAGCTTAAAGGAAACTTAGAACAAAAAGGGAAAGGGAGATTTTAAACTACCATGACAGACTACCAGCGTGGGCAGCCAGTATTCAGACGGCCAGGGGCAGAGCCAGGAAGGGTAGAGCCAATTCACCCAGCCTGTTATCATTCATACATAAACTCACGTATTCATTGTTTCATCTATCCATCCACTCATTTATCTGTCCATCCATCCATCCATCCATCCATTCATTTAATGAACATGTGTTGAGGGCACCCATGCACTATTGTTTGGAGTATAATGCTAAATATTCATCAACCTTTTTAGGATTGAAATTAAGAGAAGGGCACTTGTAGTGATTTGTAAGACTAGCATTTTACATCTGCAGTGCATAGTTGAGCAGGAAGCGCCTTAGGTCAAATGGTTAAGGATCAGTTTCACTGGTGCTGTAGTTGAAACATAAAATAAATATGACCCTGGCCAAATTCAAACCATATTACAATACATATCAAAAAGCACTGGTTCATGACTGTCCTTTTAAGCACTAATGTTTCATTTGCAATCTCACAAATGATTGGCTAGAGCTTAAAGAAAGTTTAAATTTGGGGGGGGGTGTTGGAGAGATGGCTCAGTGGTTAAGAGCACTGACTGCTCTTGCAGAGGACCTGGGTTCTATTCCCAGCACCCACATGGTAGCTAACAACTATCCATAACTCCAGTTCCAGAGGATCTGATGCCCTCTTCTGACCTCTGCTGGCATTGCAGGACACAGGTGCACCCACCAACATGTAGGAAATACACTCATACACATAAAAGAAAAAATAATAAAATATTTTAAAAACTTAAACAGAAAAACTTAAATTTTTATCATTCATTTAACATAATATTCATTCATTCGTTTTTAGCCAAAAAGGTAAGTACTTGCTTACAGAAAATCAGTATAACACAGAAAAGTATGAAGAAGAATATGAAAGTTTCTCCTCTATTATAGAATGCAAAATTGTGGGCAAGTAAGCTCCTGACATAAAAAAGGCAAAATAACCTGCTTGTGTGTACCCTGAGGTTTATGATGGCCAAATCTCTGTGCCTTCAGCTCTGACAGGACCTGGCCTTGTTCGCATGGTGGAAATTTGTACTGAATCTGTCATACAGCACCTGGATCAGCTGGATGAGGTCACCAATAATTCAGGCTGTGTGGATGTGTTGACCCTCATGAGGCACATCATGCTGGACACCTCTAACATGCTCTTCCTGGGGATCCCCTTGGACGGTACTGAAACTTGCATCCTCATGACTCAGCATTCTGCCCTTTTTCAAACAGGGGATGTGGGACAGCACACCAAGGCGAAGTGTGGTTTTATGCATTGCTCTTACTTAAGCATTTCTAAGTATTCCTAAGGATATTTCCTTCCTGTGTTTCTGCCTTGTTCACTCATGAGATAAAGCTTTCAAAGCAGAGCCCAGTTTTTTATTTTGTTCTCTCCTAGTGCTCTAGGAAATAGGATTGAACCCTAGGCAAAACTTAGGTGGTCATTTGATCGTTAACCTACCCCACTACCAATAAATTGATATTTAACTATTTCCAACCATTCTTTTGGGCATGATACATACATGTGTAGCTATATATTTATACATGTACAACCTCGTCCCTCAAAGTTACTATGAAAACTTGATTGTGCCTATATGACAAGATGATGGCGGGAATGTTGCTGACATCAACGGAAATGATGATGACAACTGCCACTGCTTATGTACATGTCTGCCACTTAATATTTATGATAACTTGATGATACATCTTACTTTCTTCACTCTGCTAGAAAAATAAATATTTAAAAAATGTGCATGTAACTCTACCATTACCAAAAAGAAATCGTTATTTGGATGAATTCCATTCCACTGTGGACATTAGTATGTGACTTTTCTGAATTATTTACAATTGTGTTCATTGAGTTGCCTCTTCACTCAACGAGTATGCATTGGTTACCTATTTTATGCTAGGCTTTGTTCTAGGCTCTGGGAACAGAGCAATGATGAGTAAGGTTTTCACACCATAGTGGTGTACGGACGGTAAAACAAGTAAATATCAGGCTATGTATTGGACAGTAACTGCTGTAGGCAAAAACAAAGCAGGGAAAGAGGACAGGAATTGAGGTGGGGTAGCAGCGGGTGTTGGCATGGCCATATGGAGTGGGTGGTCAGGAAAGACATCTTCAAAAACGACACTTGACATGGCCTGGATGAAGTGAAGCTGTGAGCCATGTGATGATCTGAAAGAAAAACAGTCTGGACAGAGGAATGATGCTTATGCTTAGCATTTGCTGAAACCATCTGAGCTGTGAATGTGTTGCCCGATTTACCACATTTGAACAACTGGTCCAGCTGTACACCCTTTCTTTCTCCCCCAGCTTCCATTGCCCATCTTCCCTATCTACTGGTCTTCAAGAGCTGTAGAAACATCATCTGATTATACTTTAGATGGGTACCCGAGCTTCTCTGAGAAGTTTTTGCGTCACTTGACCCCCTCCAGCCTTTCTGCACACATCTCTGCTGCAGTTAGGTAGACACATGCTTACCTAGCCATGCTCCTTGGGTCCCCCTATGCCTGGATTGTTAGGAAGTATGCTGTCAAGGGAATGTAAATTTGTTCATTAACCTGTGGTCCAGACTGTGACGCCACAACAGCTGTGTAACCTATGCGGGGTTGTGTTTATTTCCCTTTTTATTGGTACTCGGTAAGCTTCCAACTTGCTTATAGGACTCAGTGCACCAAGAGGAAGGGTGCTACCCTGAAATCAGATAGCCCAGGAGCTACAGCCTAAGAGTCTGCTTGCCACATTGGCTGCAGGGTGTTAGTCAAGTTTCTATCAATTGTAGTTTCTTTATCTGCAGAATAGAGACGCTGTCACTCCCTAGCAAGATTATAAGGTTTAAATTTAAAATTTCCCTAGAGAACTTAGAACTGTGTCTGGCATTTGGCAGCTTTTTGAAAATGAATACTGATTCCCTTCCCTTTGTGTACAGGTCTGATAAATTTTTTAAAAAATCAAAGACTTTATTATTTCACTTACTGAATTATCATTGTTATTAACAATGTATTGAAGAAATTTGAAATGAATTCTGCACTGTGGACTAAATATAGATAAGTATGAAGGCTATGTGAAGAAGGCTACTAAATGAATATAGCACTATGAGATATTTATGAGCTATTAATTAGGTAGGTCATTCAAGCACATGTTCTAGTTAATGTTTTAGCTCACCTAACACTAAATTCAATTGAAAATGTTAATAATATTATATGATATTATTAATTATTATTAGTGTGTGTGTGTGTGTGTGCGTGTGCGTGTGTGTGTAGATCAGAGAACAAGTCTGTAATTCTCTCCTTTCACCTTTAGATGGATTCTAGGGATCAAACTCAGATTATCAGGAGACAAGTACCTTTACCCACTGAACCATCTTGCTGGCCCAAACAGCAGCCTCCCAGGTGTTAGAGTCACAGCCATAACAACCATAATTACTAGTCTTTGTCAAGAAAAGCAAGAGGAAGCTGGAGACTCAGCCTAAAGGGAACATGAGAGTCTAGATTATGGTCTCAAATACAAACTTGAAAAGTGGCAACTCTCTGGTTAAGTGCCAATTTAGATGCCAAACAAATAAATTAATGCTTAATTATCCTAGTGTGATCATGCATCTAGATTACCCACTGGTGACCCCAACCTGGTAGAGGAAACTTTAGGGACTGGTCTCTGCTCACACCACTGTTCTCAGACTCACGTCTAGCCCAGTGATTTTGTTCTTATTTTTGTTTTGCAGAAAGTTCCATCGTGAGTAAAATCCAGGGTTATTTTAATGCATGGCAAGCTCTCCTCATCAAACCAAACATCTTCTTTAAGATTTCCTGGCTCTACAAAAAGTATGAAAAGTCTGTGTAAGTAACACAAGCTTGGAAGATTTATGAGTGCAATCACATTGTGTTTTTTATTGTGTCTTTGCTGTTGCTGGCCTATTTGGTAAGCTTTATGATCTCCAGAGTCCACAAGGATGTGTTTATTAAGTTGCTGATGAAGCTGTGTTGGGACAGATCAAGAGTAAAAGAAGCCTTTGGCCAAGGGATTGCTCAGCAAGGGGCCAAATGGGTGGCCTGCAGGCTCTCTAGAACAGGGCATTGTGATATATTTTGAGTTAGCATGAAAGCCTGGGTAACCCTAACATCTGTCAAAAATCTTTGCACAGCTAGAAAAACAGAAATACAGAATTATTTTATAGTTATGTTTCTTTTCAATGAATTTACCATAATTCAATTTGAAGAAATGATAGTAATCTTTCTCCACTTTTCTTGATGTTCAGGAAGGAATATAGAAGCTATGTCAGCAGCATCAACAGAGTATTTAAAAATATAGGTGATTATGTCAAGTGTTTGGAAGAAAGATTTACTGTACCTTTAATGCAATGCACAACATTGTTCCCTGTGATGAGAGAGAGCAACACACTTAGACAAGAACACATGTAAGAATAACAGAATTGATCCATTTTGAAGAGACGGGGGAGCCGGGACCTGCTCGATCCAGGCACCTGAGC